GGTGGCCGCTTACCGGCGATAGCTGCTATCGCCAGCGGTGCCATCCCCCATCTCCCAGCCCGACTCGCGTTCCAGCCGGTGTCTGCTCCCGCACACCCGTGTCGGCGTTGTGCGGGTTGTCGGGAGAGGATCCAAAGCAAAGGTATCGGTAATCTCGGCCTGTCACCTGCTGTCGTGAAGTGCCTCTTGAAGCTTTTCTTACACCTGACCGAGCCGTTTGTGTTTGCCGATGCTGTTTGGGCTGTGCTCTCTGCCCCGTGCCCAGGGCTGTCATCCGCGGGGTTTGCTCAGTTAGGGTCTGGGAATGGGAAGTTTGCGGCAGAGGCAGTACCAGAACCGAGCAAAACTCGCTGCCTTGGGGGCAGGAGCTGCCGCAGGCAACAGGCATGAACGGCGAAATCAGAACATAGATTTCTCATGGAACCAGAGGCATGTGGAGCCTTTATACAGCAGGAGAATGGGTTAAACGAGGGGAACCAGTAAAAAATTATCTTATTAAGTGCTTGGTTTGTCTTTGCATCCTGCGGAGGCTGTTGTGGCTCTTCCTCGGGCTCACGGACTCCAGTTTGTCTGTTCGCGTGTCATGTTTGCTCTTGTACTGAGGTGCTAAAAACTCTTCATGCAATTGCTCCTTCGTTTTCTTAAAAACCTTTTGTTATGCATTAAATTTTAATAAAGACTTGAACTTCTTTGCATGTACTTTTAATGAAATTGATGTATGGAGAAGGACCGTCGGGCAAAAGGATGAAGGTGCTCAGGCATCACGAGAGTGTAGATCCCTTGGCTGAACTGCCAAGCACCCCAGCAACCCCCAGCAAGGGTAAGGTGCTTTAATAGTGCTGGCACAGGAATTTAGGAGATTTTCCTGCACGTTATGAGGGCTCAAAAGAAAACCCCTCGTGGTAGGAGGTCAGTGCTGAGCTCGGGTGGCAGGAGCTCGGTGCACGGAGGGGGCTGCGGCGGTGGGTGGGTCTTTCCTACGTGTGATAGAGAAAACTGTTGGTCTGCAGTTTCCCTGCAGGGGTTGCTCACTGCCCTCTGCTGATCCCAGCGCGCTCAGGATCGTGGGATTTTCCCTGCAGGGTCTGTCGGAGCTCAGGGATGACTTCTTCCCGACCCCGTCCGGGCTGCAGTTGCCGTGGCCCAAGTCCTTCGTAGCAGCATTTCGGTCTCCTGACTGATGTTGACCGATCTGGCGGAAGATGACAGTGTTTTTCTGTGAGTTTATTGAAAACTGGTGATTAGAATCGCCAGTCAGACCCCAAAGCCTTCAGGCACGGCAAGCGGGACAGCTCCCCTTCCCACGCTCAGGGCCACACAATCCCTGTCACTGCCTGCCTCACCAGCGGGGAGTGGGGCACTGCTGGGGGGATTCTGTGCATAGAAATCCCAGTGTGTACTCTGTTAATGATCTCTGCTCATTACTGAAGCCACGGTGATTACTCGCGGTTCACACTCAGTGATTTCCACGAGCTAGTGATGCAAATGGGTGTCCCAGGTTTGGATTGAGAAGGTTTGGTGTGTTATAGAACTTGAGAATTTTTGCACAGTGCTTGATCTTCAGCCTCGTATTAAACTTCACTCCAAACCAAATTACATTTTTCATAGAAAATGCGAATAAGTCATGGCGTGTTTCCAGATGTGAAGGCAAAATAGGAACTTGCTGTGGTCTGCACAAAAGGCACTGGCAGGAAGGGGAGCAGCAAACTGTCTGCAGAGCCCGCGCTGGTTTCTGGCGGTTTGAAATGTGTGTCAGGCACAAACATAATGGATTTGGGATGTGCCCTAATCTCAGTCTCTGTGGAAAATTTCGTTGGCTAAGAAAAGCAAGGTCACCAAAGAGTATGGAGAAGCGTAGTGGGAGGGTTGGCGTCGCATTGCTCACGCTCTGTATTTAGCAGGGAAAATGAAATTTTGGGTTAAGTACTCCGGGTTTTTGGTTGTTTCTTTTTTTTGGTTTTTTTTTTTTTTTTGCTCTTTGCTGCCTTTCTCCTGTGTTTGCCCTTCCACTCGCAGACCCTCCTGCCGCCGGAGATTCCCGGGAGCACCGCGAACAGCCATTTTAGCTGAGTGCTCACCGTGCTTTGTTTGCTCAGACATCCCCAACACATCGCTCGGGGCCAGGGCGAGACTGGAATTGCCTCTTGGTCCCTCCTGTATCTGTCGGCATGAGGTGTAATCCAGGCTCAGGAAGCAGGAACGTTCCCACCGTGTGCTGTTGGTAACAAATTGTCTGTTTGGGGTTTGTTTTTCAGGAGCAGTTGCAGCACCAACTCAGCTGCTTCTCAGCGAAATGACTGAGTTTACCCAGGCTAGATCTGCTGTCACTAACAATAATGCCTGTTGTTCATCTTTTGTCTTCCTTTCCTCCCACTTATTTTTTCCTGATCCATTTATTCTGCCTTAAATCAAGATTTATTTTTTTAAGCTGTAGGGACGGCAAGGCAAAATTGTGGATTTACAACGCAAAGAAAATGCTGGGTAGTGAAAGCTGTGCCTGTACTGCCTTCCCGGACTCAACCAGAAGTGCGTTTTGCATTTGCATATGAAAAGCCTCTGGAATGAACAGTTTAAACGAAGGAAAGGCGCAGCAGCGGGTGAGACGGGGCAGGTTTCGGGCAGGGTGTCCGTACATGTCCGCAGGGTTGTTCGCATCGTTTGGCGCAGCCGGTTTGGCCCAGCCGATACCCACCTCTCGTCCTCTTCGGTTACTCTCCCTGGCATTTCAGCCGCTTGTTCTCGAGTTGCCCGCGGTGCTTAGGCTGCCCACGGGAACCCTGGAGCGCTGCCGTGCCCTGTGTGGGGTCGGCAGCAGAAACCCGGCAGCAGAAACCCAGCAGCAGTGCCAGGCGAGAGGCGTCCCTCGGGGCCGCGGGTGGCTCTTGTCCCGACGCTCCCAGCTGTGGAGGTGCAGCCTGGCGCTCCCCCCGCGCCCCACTCGCCCCTTTCCCTCGCGGGGGTTGGGGCTGAGGCTCGGCCGG